CTTTTATTGCAAATATGCATACACTCTCGGGCGAAGTTCTCTGGTCCTCAGGTGTGGGGGGCCAGGGAAGTCGCGCCGGCGCTCTCGGGTGATGTTCTCCGGTCCACAAATGCGGGGGCCGAAGAAGTCACTACACTGTGATTATTGTACTTTCAGAAAAGAGGGGACTTTGGCTTAGCAGGGTTGGTTCATCCATGGTCACATAGCTAGTAAGTGGCAGAGCCAGAACTGGAACATAGGCATTGGATATCCAAACCTATGTGTTTAACCCTTGGGATTCTCTGGTACTTGGGGGAGTAGGTGGTGCCAATGAAGCCACCTTAAGCAAGTTGCCCGGGTGCTCACTGCCGGATGGGTAGGCAGGAAGGCAGACTGGTGAGCCCCGGCTTATAGCTGCACTGCTGCCCACAGCGTGCCAAGTTGGAGGCCGCCATTGCCGAGGCTGAGGAGCGTGGGGAGCTGGCACTCAAGGATGCTCGTGCCAAGCAGGAGGAGCTGGAAGCTGCCCTGCAGCGGACCAAGCAGGATATGGTGCGGCAGCTGCGCGAGTACCAGGAACTCATGAGCGTGAAGCTGGCCCTGGACATCGAGATCGCCACCTACCGCAAGCTGCTGGAGGGCGAGGAGAGCCGGTGAGGACAAGGACACTGGAAAGGGGATCCTTCTAGGGCTCCGTGGGGTCTGGGGCTTGACATTCATCCATTTACAAGCATTTCCTGTGTGCCCCTCCTCTGCAGGGCACTGGGTGTGGGGATGCAGGGGACACAGAGCTGACGCTTGCCTCTTTGCCTTCAATGAGATGAGCTTCCGGAAGGAAAGACCATGGAGTGTGAAGCTCAGTGGGCAGGTTGAAATGATAACAGTCCCTTTGTGTGTGTGGCTTCTTAGGGTTATCATATTTGATCCTCAGCACACATTCAGGTAGTCAGGTCAGAGGTGATTGATTCCTTAGTCTCCAGAGGGGAAAACTGTGGTTGAGTTTCATTAATTGAGGGAACAGGGCCAGTGTGCAGTCAGGGTGTGCTGATTCCTGCTCCAAGGATCTTGCAGGACGCCAAGCTGCTTCTCACTACAGAACTGAGTGCTACATCATGTGGTGTTAACTGACTGTGGTGGAGGGGGATAATTTTGTTTGTCCCCAGAGATATTTGCAGACTCACTTGTAGTCAGAGAGGAGGCTGCAATGGGTGAGTCTGATAGCACATTATTCATGAACCACATGACACCTCTGTCCATGCAGCTGGGCCTTCACGTATGTATTGTTGGGTTAGAACTCAACCTCTTCATTCTTGGCTTGTTGTAAGACACCATGGCGATAGAGAATATGTAGGACATGTTTCTGCCCTCAGGGAGGTGCAGAGGGTGGAGGAGAGAAAACATCCACAAAGGAAACCCCCAGAGACAAGTAACTTGCATTTGTAAAATGCTGAGTGTATACAAGAACTTTTTCTTTTCTGAGTATTATTCCTGAGGGGCCAGAGAGAGACATGATGGAGGATGAATGGAGCAGCAGGGAAGGGACTGGGGAGTGAAGGGGTGCGCGGGTCAAGGGCCGGGGTGCTGGGGCTGAGGGCCTGGGCACTGGGAGGCGGAGAGGAGACACAGGGCTGCAGGGTGTGAGTAGGGGGCAGAGAGGAGGAGGAAGGGGCTTTGCCCCTGCCACTGACCCGCCTTCTCCCTGGGTTAGCACCCAGTCTTCTTTGTGGGAAGAAGAATTGAACACCAAAGGCCTCTGGGAACACAGAAGCTGATCTGGGCACAGGGAGCTCCAGCCAAGATGCCTCTCTCTGCTTCCACCTCTCTCATGGGGCACAGGGCCCCCACATTCTTTAGAACCCATACCCTGGGCCTTCTGTCGTCATAGAAGTCAGAGGTGGGGGACTCTTAGAGTGGTACCTGATCTGGCTTCCTCCCATGGGAAGAAAAGGGGACTGAAGCTCAGAAATGGGTCAGTAGTGTGCCCAAGGTCACACAGCATGCAGAGACATCCTCTTCCGAAAGCTTAATCTCAGTCTGAGCTGCTATAACCAGGCTTCAATTCAGGTACTCTGAGAGGATGTGGTTCCCCCATCCCTGGGGGCATATGGAGGTAGATACCTTGCTTTTATCCCTTAACTTATCAGAGTTGTGGTCCAGAAACTCATTCAAACTGGGAGGCCTACTTTAAGAATACAAAGTTACCCAAAAAACACCCACTTATTTAGAATGAGAAAAGTCACACAGGTCACTGGGGCCTTGGACATTCAGGCCTCTTCCGTCTGAGTTCTTTAGGCATTGTACCAGAAATTCTTAGAGTTGCTGCCTGACTGCAACCCGGCTCCCTCTCCCCACCCACAAGTGCCAGCAACTCCCAGCACAAGCAGGGGCCTTTTAAGCAAGCCCCCTGGAAGCTTTCAGCAAACCTGTCTCTTTCCCTCAGGCTTTGCTCTGCCTGCTTCCTGGGCTTGGGGCCACAGAGGCCAGCGAGGCTCCCTTTATTCCCTCTACTAAAGTGAGGTCCTCCCTGCCTCCACGGAGCAAGCTGATCCCCAAGGCCAAGGGTTTGGTGACAATGGGGCTGTGAGTCACAAAACAAACATAGCCAGCTGTCTCGAATGGATTTTTAATTTCTACTGCAAGACCTGTTTCAGCCCCAATGGCTGCTTAAAGCCACCCCCACTCCCTGCTCCTTCCTTAGTCCTGGCTGGAGCCCCATTCAGTCAGTCAATGATTCACTAATTATGTTGACATATATTAAGCAATGACTTCTCCAGGCCTCATACTGGGGATAAAAGTATCAATAGGCCACAGACACCTTTAGGATTTTATGATATGGTGAGGAAAGGCAACCATCTACATAAATAATACACACAGCTACCATTTACCGAATCCCAGGTGCTCAGGGCTTTAGACAGATTATGTGATTTAACCCTCACAAACAAGCCCATGAATTTGGTCCTGTAGTTGGGCCCAAGGCATAGGTGGGAAATGGAGGCCCTAAGACATTGCCTGGGATCAGGTGGCCAGTGGATAGAAGGGCCAAGGTGAACACTCCCTTCCTGCATGCCTCCTTGCTCCTTTTACAAGGCTGAAGGCAGGCTGGAAGTGTGGGGCAAGAAGGAAAAATCAATGATCCTGCTTAGGGCCTGGAAGGATAGGGAGCTGAGAGCGCTTCCCTCCCACGCTAGGAAAGCGCTGTCCTCACTGTCTGTCCTCTGCCCCCAGGTTGGCCGGAGATGGAGTGGGAGCCGTGAATATCTGTAAGTCCTTGGCTGCAGCCTGTGGGAAGCATCCCTTGTGCTGTTCAGATGGGGCTAGGTCTAGAGAATGGCAGACTGGCCCAGGGCCCTGCTGGAGGGGCCAGGAACCTCATTCCTTTCTGCAGGGTCTGGCAGGTCCCCTGGAGCACATACCGCCCAGCTCAATGGCCTGGGAAGCAGTACAAGAGGGCAGGGTGGGGCCGGGAGCACTTGGGGAGCAGCCCTACCCCTGTTAGATGCTCCTTCTGGGCTGGCCCATGGGGGTGGGGCAGGGGTGAGGGAGAGGGGCAGCTGGGACAGGAGGGTGGGGTGCAGTGAAGGGATGGGGTCCCTGGTAGGGAGCCTCACACTGAAGAGAGCCCTCCTCTTTTCTCTCCCAGCTGTGGTGAATTCCACTGGTGGCAGTAGCAATGGTGGTGGCATTGGGCTGACCCTCGGAGGAACCATGGGCAGCAATGCCCTGAGCTTCTCCAGCAGTGCAGGTCCTGGGCCCCTGAAGGCTTACTCAATCCGGACCACATCCACCAGTCGCAGGAGTGCCCGCAACTGAGCTGCCTCCCACCACTCCATTCCTCCAGCCACCGCCCACAGTCACAAGAAGATTCCCATCCCTGCCTCCCATGCCTGGTCCCAAGACCATGAGACAGTCTGGAAAGTGATGTCAGAATAGCTTCCAATAAAGCACCCTCATTCTGAGGCCTGAGTGATCCGCGTGCCTGGTATCCTGGCCTCATGAGGCTGGGCAGGGGGAAAGACGGGACTAGAGAAGGCAGGGTTTCCCTGCTGACTAGGAAGCCTTTTGTGCAGGAGACTGAGAAGGCACATGGTGGGATGGGGTGCTGCTCTAAGGAGCAGGATGCTTACCTAGTGTGAGCCTTGGCCTCCAGGGCTGGGGCTGATCCAAAGATTCTCCTGAGGAACTCAGAAGAGCCATGGGGAAATGCAGGCTCTGACAGCATTTGGGCCTTGGAGTGCTGTCCTGCTAAGGGGGTAGAAAGGCTGTTTGCCTCCCTCCCCCCATGCCCAGAGCTGCCAGAACACATTCTTTTTGTGAGGAGGTCACAGACGTTCAGCTGCCCCAGGCCCCAGTTTCGGGTGGCCCAGCCAACTTTCATGCCAGCCGTCCTCAGCCCTTCCTGGTGCTGGGTCTGCCAGGCTTATGGTCAGCCAGGCCCTGGGGCCCTGGAGAGGTCCTTTGCATCTGGAATTCTGTGGGGGTGGTGGCTGGGGGAGGAGGTGTGTGTGTGCATGGGAGGAGGGTCCTAGAGTCTAGATCTCCCGTAACAGGTCTGTGCCTAGGACCTTAACGGAGGGTTGGGTTTGTTTCTGGATCCATGGGAGTGGGGAAGGACATCTGTGTTAAGTCAGGGCTTGATGGGGGCCTCTATATGTCAGTGTGGCAGGTGTTCTGTGGCAGGGCCTATGCATGGAGAAATGTGTCCCTGATGGGCAGCAGCACATATGATGGGTACTGTGGAGCCGCAGGGAGGCCTCTGTGTCTGGGATCCCAGGGGGGTGATGGTGGTGGTGTGGGTGGAGGAGCTATCTGGGATGTGTTGGCTTCTCAGAGGAAATCTGTATATTTGACCCTACGGTCAGGGAACTTTCAAATGCTGAGGTGGGGGCTGGGGTGGAGAGTGAAAGAAGTGGACCAGCAGCCGCAGTGATGAAGTTCCCACCCAAGGTGTCAGGAGATCCAGGCCCTCTTGCCCGACTAAGAAGACGAAGTGGGCAAGAAGAAAAAGAGACTCTCAGGGCGCATTGCATATGACTAGGAGCTTTAATGGAAATGCTGAGACAAGCACAGGGGAGAGGGAGGGAGCCAGGCAGCCAGGCGGGAGAGGTGGCCTGTCCCACACGTGTATTAGAAGACAGTGGATTAGAAGGCACAGCAAGTCCACACCAAGAGGCTCCAGGCCCATCTGTCCCTCAGAAGCCACAGGCATCCAGGCCTCTGGACCCGGGTCTTTGCCTAGGGCTGCGAGGACACAGTCCTTTAGATGCGGAGGTGGGGAGAGCTGCGGGCTAGGAGCCCTGTGCTCCCGGAAGCAGTGAAGGGACTAACGGGAGGGGATGCGAGACGGGAAGGCGCGGTGTGGGGGCCTGTGGGGAAGCTGGGTCCCGAAGCCCTCCTTCCCCACGTCTGAGGACCCTGGGAGCTCCGGCCTGTCTCAGGAGGCTGGGACTTCTGCTGGCGTGGCGGCGTCGGTACAAAGCAGGGTGCTCAGGCGAAGCGCACGGAGCGGCTGCTGCCGCAGGTCTGGCCGCAGGGCGCACACAGGCCGGTGCTCACTGCCACGTTCCCGCTGCAGGGGGCACTGCAGACGCTGCCGGTCACCGGCCGGGAGCCCGACACGCACAGGTCCCCGCACACGACCCCGCCGCGGGAGCTGCTGACACCTGCCGGAGGGGGAGCACAGGGCTCAGTCTCCTGGCGGCCAGAGGCCCCTTCTGCTCAGATCTTCTCCCCTCTGTTTCTATCCGCTTCCCTCAACACCCTCACATGGGCACTCCTTCCTGCAGTCTTAGCCTCAAGTGTCCTTGATACACTGTTAGCCCAGGTCCTCTCTAGAGGCAGACACAGCCATGCTTCGCCTCACAACAGAGACAGGTTCTGAGAAGTACAGCATTAAACGATTTTGTCATTGTGCGAACATCATGGAGTGCACAGACACAAACCTAGATAGTGTAGCCTACTACATACCCGGGCTCTATGGCAAGAGTGGCTTTATTTTATTTATTTTATTTTATTATTTCATTTCATTTCATTTCATTTCATTTTTTTGAGATGGAGTCTCTCTCTATCGCCCAGACTGGAGTGCAGTGGCACGATCTCAGCTCACTGCAACCTCTGCCTCCCGGGTTCAAGCGATTCTCCTGCCTCAGCCTCCCTAGTAGCTGGGATTACAGGCGCTCATCACCACGCCAGGCTAATTTTTTAATTTTTAGCAGAGATGGGGTTTCACCATGTTGGCTAGGCTGGTCTCAAACTCCTGACCTCAAGTGATCCACTCGCCTTGGCCTCCCAAAGTATTGGGATTACAGGCGTAAGCCACCACACCCAGGCCCCAAGGGTGTCCAGTCTTTTGGCTTCCCTGGGCCACATTGGAAGAAGAAGAATTGTCTTGGGCCACACATAAAATACACTAACACTAATGGTAGCTGATGAGCTTTAAAAAATCACATACAAAAAAATCTCATAAGTTTTAAGAAAGTTTACAAATTTGTGCTGGGCCACATTCAAAGCCGTCCTGGGCTGTATGCAGCCTTCTGGTCGCAGGTTTGACAAGTTTACTGTATAGCATAGCCGATTGCTTCTGGGCTACAAATCTGTACAGCATGTGACTGTACTGAAGACTGAAGGCAACGGTAACACCATGGTAGGTATTTGTGTATCTGAACATAGGAAAGTAGAGTAAAAATATGGTATTATGATCTAATGGGACTACTGTCCTATATTCCATCCATCCTTGACCTGAAAGTCCTTATGTGGTGCATGACTGTAGCTAATTAAGTTACTATAAGCACTCACTGCCCAACTCCGTCTTTCCTTTTAGAGTCTGCAAACTATGGTCACATGCAGGCTTCCTGTGTGTCAATCAAGTTTACCTGGAACCCAGTCATACCCCTTCCTTTAAGTATTGCCTTTGGCTGTGGCTGCTTTACATGACAACAACGGAGTGGAGCAGTTGAGGCAGAGACTGCATGGCCCACGAGCCTAAAGTTTTTACCATCTGAAGCTTGAAGAAAAAATTTGCCTGCCCAGAACCCCAGGCTCTTATTTCAGGACCCACAAAATGGATTACTTACAGACATTTACAGCTCCAACGCCCTCACACAACCTTATAGGGAAAGTAAAAAGACAGAAATTAGTTGTGGGGAGCAAAACTGGTGAAATCTGTTAACCTGCAAATTCTCTCCTCCAATTAGCGTTGAGGCACATTCCAAGTAAATAATATGCAGACATGCTCCTGGGTGTTGAAGCACTGCAGCACTGCCTGGGGGAAACTGAGGGGCCACCCTCCCCACAGCTGTGGTCCTCACCTCTGCTCCTCGCCCTCCAGCAGGCGCCTGTAGGTGGCGATCTCGATGTCCAGGCCCAACTTGGAGTTCATCACCTCCTGGTACTCCCTGATCAGGCAGGCCATGTCCTGCTTGGCCTTCTGCAGGGCACCCTCCAGCTCGGCCAGCTTGCAGCGGGCGTCACTGAGGGCCGCCTCACCCTGCTGCTCAGACTGGGCCACCGCGGCCTCCAGCTTGGAGTTCTGGGAGGCAAGATGGGTTATTAAGAATCTCTGTTCTGGCTTCAGGGTCAGAGACCAGGTAACCACTGACCACTGACTAGCAGAGGAAGAAGAGGCCTTATCTATTTGTTAGGCCAGGGGTTGCAAATTAGTGCTCCCAGGCGTGTTTGCACGGTGTCTTCAATTTTGGAAATTTAACACAATAATTGAAATTCCTGGCTTCTTTCAAAAGATCAGAGGATCTGGCCATACTGGACCCGCATTTCTGCATGGCCTGCCTCAGTTGGAGCTGCCTAGCCCTGCCCTTTGTGCTTTCCAGTTTGCCATAATCCCGATCATACCCAAGTGCCTTGGGAATAGCTTGCTTGCTTTGCTCATTTACCAACCCCGCTGATGTTTGAATGTACGATCACTGATCTAGAGCAACAGGCTAGAGGGGTTAAATGCCTTTCTCAAGTCTCATGGCAAACTAGTGGCAGAGCTGGTTTGAGAGCCCAGATTTCCTGCCCCTTAGACTGGTGCTATTTCCTCTGCCCCACTCTGCCGTTGGAAGCAGGAAAGCCCTTGTCACCTCATTCCCTCCATATTGTCCCAATGCCTCCATTCAGCGAGAATGGAGAACATTTTCCATGGAGGAGGCTGTCCGTCCTCATGCTGGGTGTTTGCCCTTGTCCCCACACATTGGCAAGGAGTCTAACCCAAATCCCTCTGCTGAGGGCTAACCCCACTCTATTCCTACACTGAGGAGTGGGCTGGGCTCCCACACCTGGCATTTGGCGTTCTCCACCTCGGCTGTCAGCCTCTGGATCATGCGGTTCAGCTCGTTGATCTCCTCCTTGGTGCGGCGCAGGGTCTCCCCATGTCTGATCACCGTGGCCTTCATTTCCTCGCACTGGCGAAGTAGAGATGCTCATGAGGCTTAGGGTGGGACCTCCCATCCATTCAGGACACCACGGATGATTATGCAGTGCTCAGCCTGAGCAACCACACGTGGCAGTCCTGCCCTGCCACCCCAACATCTGTAGGGACCAGAATCCCCAGAAAAGGAAGCCTATTTAATAGATACCTTGCATCCCTCCCACTGCCATGTCTAGCAAGCAGGTGTCCTGTGCCACTCACCTTGCTGCGGTACCAGGACTCGGCCTCGGCCCGGCTGCGGGTGACAATGTCGTCGTACTGTGCCTTGATCTCAGCGACGATGCAGTCCATGTTCAGGTCCCGGCTGTTGTCCAGCTTGACGACCACTGAGGTGTCTGAGATGTGCGACTGGAGAATGCGGATCTCCTGCAGGAGAGGGCGAGTGGCAAGAGCTTCTTAGACCAGAGCCCTACTCTTGGTAGCCCACCCTCATTATCATCCCCTGTCCCCTTTCCTGGCTTCCTCACTCTCTGAAGCTCCACTCTCCCAGTTATAGTCTTCCACCTCAACCCTGGGACCCCCTCAAGACTCCTCAAGCCCAGAGTCCTGAGGCCTAGAGGACTTGGAGGTAGAGAGTCCATGTCTGAGGCCCCGTGCCTGATTTTAATCAGGACCTTCCAGCTTGAACCTTTGGGTCTAGGACCAGAGTTTACCACCTTGTGGCAATTGTCACTTTAGTAACCAGGAACACCAGCTTGCCCGGGGCATAGCAGTGGGAGGTCAAGCCACATTTCTTCATCTGCTCACGGTGAACCTGCCTGGGGTTTCTCCCCTTGTCCCACCATGGGGTCAGAAGCTGAATTGTGACAAGTCTTTTCCAGTGTCTAACTCATATCCTCCTTGCTGCCCTGCTGCTCTGTGACCCCGCACCTCCTCATACAGCCGCCTCAGGAAGTCGATCTCCTGGGTCAGGGCCTCCACATTGGCCTCCAGGTCTGATTTGCGCAAGTAGGCACAGTCCACATCCTAAAGGGGAGAAGATGGCACAGGAGTTGCACTGGGAGACAATTCAGAACCCTTGTTTTTTTCCTACACCATCAGGCTGAGCAGCTTCCCTGGAAACCCTCTGTACATGCTCATCCCAGTGCCTGGTATCATGCCGTGGCAAAGCCCCTTATGCAGTTAGTAGTAGGGTCAAGAGCAGGTTCAGGTAAGGGAGGGGGATACTGAGGTTTGCAGGCACTTCCTCTGGTACCCACTGGGATGATTCCTCTAGAATCCATGCCATGCACTACCACGAAAACTTAGGATCTAGTGTACAATGGGTAAATTCTAATGATGCCCCACCCCTCTCTGCTCTGGAATCTCGTGGAAGATAATCTAGGTCTGTGGTCAGAAAAGGGCTCAGGGCTCAACTCTGTCCCTTCCGAGTCAGTGTGACTCTGAGCAGTCCCCTTAACCTCTGCGCCTCATTTTCTCACAATAACCCCTGCTTTCTTCATATGGAGGTGGCTGGAAGGGCCTAATGAGAGTCCAGGCACTTGTACAGAGTCAAGTCTAAGAAGCAAGGAAGGACGGTCACTGTCCCTGCCTGCGGTTCTGAGTTGTTGCTGGCTTGAGGATGCAGCCATTGTCTACAATTCACAGGCTGTTTCACTTACAAATATTTATAGGGTGCCTACTCTATGCCAGGTGCAGGGCTGAAGGAGGTGAAAAGCCGGTGGCTATGTGGGAGCAACCTCAGATGGGGGAGAATATTGCACTGCCTGAAGCAGGCAGTATATTCTGTTGCCAGAGGCACCCAGGGAGCACTGGAGCACTGTGGAAAGGAATAGAAAGAAGCTGGGCTGTGTGATTCTAAGGGAGTCCCTCCACCTCTCTGAACTACAGAGAGCCTGATTTTAGTCAAGGCCTCCTAGCTCAAACCTTTGGGTCTAGGACCCTTCTGTCTCTGGCCTCAGTTCTGAGTTAGGGGACAAGGATTCTGGGGTCACTCACCTTCTTCAGGGCCACAAATTCATTCTCAGCAGTGGCCCTTAGTGCCACCTCTTCTTCATACCTGGGGACAAAACACACAAGGCTCAGATCTGGGGAGGAAAAAAATGGGAATGAAGGCACAGGCAAACACATTCCAGGAACTGGATCTTTTGGAGGTGGTCGCAAGAATCAAAAAAGTGTTGGACCAAAGGGAACTTGTCCATCCTTTTCTTCTGGGCATTCAAACCAACCCATGTGACTCAAAGCTCTTTCTATTTCAGAGACTCTCATTCCTGACATGGGTCAGGGTGGGGGTTCTGCACATTTTCAAAGACCTCTTCTCTGTTTCTGGGCTGTAACTCCTTGCCGGGGAGGGGGGGGGGGGGGGAGGGAACCCTGCCCAGGTCAGGAATCTCTCATTTCACCTCCTGATGACTTCCTTACTCCTTTCCCACTCAGGGCGCAACATAGCACCTACAACATTGAGTAGATGATCAATAAAATGTTTGATGAATTAATGAAATAAATACTGGGGAGGAAAAAATGGGAATGAAGGGCACAAGGCAAACACAATTCCAGGAACTGGATACCTTTTGGAGGTGGTCGCAAGAATCAAAAAAAGTGTTGGACCCAAAGGGAACTTGTCCATCCTTTCTTCCTGGCATTCAAAACAACCCCATGTGACTCAAAGCTCTTTCCATTTCAGAGACCTCATTTCCTGTACATGGTCAGGGGGGGGTTCTGCACATTTTCCAAAGACCATCTTCTCTGTTTCTGGGCTGTAACCCTTGCCGGGGGA